AGCAAGTGTACACTTTTGAAAAGTACTTTACTCTTTTAGTATAGCCCTTATTTATTGACCGCGACTTAATCTCTGTTCTCAGACGCAAACTATCCGAATACCTACTATAAAACCAATAGGAAGCGAATAAAACTTAATATACGGATTATTAAAAGTCCAAAAGGCTATTTCAGTCAGGGTGCATTACAGTTTCTACTTCGCCTAGGTCTCATCAGCTTCCTCAGTTGGATTCAATACCTGGTCTTAAATATGGTGGCGACTTTACTCTTCCAATACAATGCAGTCCATCCTGGATGAGATAGCCTTTTGGGACTCAAGACTGAGTGAAATTCATTATCATCCTGCTGCCTACTCGCCTCATTGTAGGAAAACTAAACAATTATTTTTAAAATCACCCTTGGTGACCTCGGCTTACTTAGCTCTTAATTAAGCATTACTGATAGTCTCGAAGCATACTTATTCCGAAAATTGCCACGAAAAGTTGATTTTGTATTTGTATCAATAAGTTCCAAGCTTATCGTTACGCTAAGCCAAGAATGGTGGACCTATGCTTCCTTATCTATTCTGATCGATTTTCGAGATCTTATTGAGCCTTCTTATTATTTGTTGGGTTACTTCATGCCTATCCCACACGCTTGAAGTGGAGGGAAGTGTGCCTATGATGTAACTGAATTGCTGTTTATTATCAAAATTCTTTTTAATATGATCATGCAATATTTGCGCGTGTGGCTTTCACGTGCTTATGCAATGTGTATGAGTCAGTTATGGTGTTGGCGACAACCGAACTCTCGCCCTATCAATGCTTCTCTTGATGATTTGGCCTGTTCCCTTCCTATATTTATGCAAAATACGTATTTGGAGGTCGATTGTCTAAAATCTTTACTCCATTTATGCTGTTGGTGGCTTTGGTAATTTTGAATTACCCATCTTCCGCTCAACTATAGCCTAAATTTCTTGCAAGACACTAGGTTTATGACAACCTATCTGGTGTCCTGTATTATACAAATGGTTATCTGATTATTCGTACATAGGTCTTTGCAGGCGATTTTGTGTAGATAAATGGATCAGGATCTCATAGGTTATCACACAAGGACAAAGACCTGCATCAACTGGATCTGGAGGGTCTGAAATTTTTTTATCACAAGGCATTGTAGAGCAAAGATTTTGTCTCATTAATTCGCGTTGCTCCGAAATTCAGTTTCCTCACTAGTTCTCTGATTTTCGAAGGCCGACAGTACGTTAACATCGGGACTCATTAGAGCTGTCTAGCTCTCTTTCTTGCCATAAATACCGTATTTCCCCATGTATAAGCCACCCTTATTTTCCAAAATTTCCAAGCCCAAAAAGTAGGGGGGTGGCATATATAAAGCAGGTACACGTTTTATGCTTGAAAAATGCATAAAATAATAAAGTAGGAATCAACTGGTTTTTCAGCAGTATGTTGTACTTTTTTGTAAACAATTGTAAATGATGATATGATTACAAGACGATATTCTTGACCCCACACCTGAATATTAGAAGACGATGATTTCCGCCGGCATTAAAATCAAAAACAACAACGAATATATCTCTCTATTACTCTTAACCGATTACACAAGTGAAGTGCGAGTTCGCGATAGAAATGCATACGCTTGGCTTCGGCCGGAATGCCCAATAGAATACTTCTTGGCGATGAAGATGATACAGAAGAGGAAGAACTGTTAGCTAAATTCGATGCCAGTGATATTGAAGGAGACAAGGAATGTGAGGAGGTTGTCACTATACCTGATGCACCAGACAGTGATGATGAGTGTATGAGCGATTATTATGAGTCTTGAATTTTGTTTGTTTGTAACTTTTATTTCTTTGTAACTTGTTTCACTAATAAAATATTTTTTCAAAACTTCACAGTCAAAAAATTGGAGGGTGGCTTATACAAAGGGGATGTTTATACATGGGGAAATACGGTAGGTATTTTATCGCATCTTATTATTTAGTATTGCGTAGCAATCATCGCTTAATCCTACTGAATTATTGAGTTTGTATAAGATCGTTTTCGCAACTTGGTCTGGGAGAAATTGTGCAATTATCCATTCCTACTTCCTTCATACTAGTAGTAGATAATTTCAAGCTCTGGATTGTTGACGTTGTAAATTCCAATATTTTTTTCGACAATTTAGTCGAAATCGCCAGTGATTAGCGTCATCCTTAGCAATGAAATTCAACTAATCAGTGGACACGTGATGTCAATCCCTTTGATCAATTTCTTTTCAAGGAGATAATTGGGGCAAGTTTTGGGCAGCCTATGAGATTCGAAAAAGAACTACAGACATGACAATCACTACTTTAGAGCTATGCTAGCTAAGGCTAACGCACACCTTATATCATATCTTCAAGTACAATCACGTGAATAACTATTCGAATGTTAAAGCTTTTAGACGGCCATTCTTACAAGACAGAGAGTTTCTTGTTTAACAGCGAATGGTTTGTAATTTGGAGCAAGTGGATCGTTAAGTGGAAATTCTTTAGAGTTCCAGAATCCGTGTGAACAGTATATTATACTGTTGGAAAAAAATGAGGTATGGTTAGGGATGATGATATATTGCTTGTGGCTTGGATCAGGTAGGGCGAGCTACTATAATAATTGAACAGAAGAATGATTAAGTGGCTTGCCTTCTCACGCTTGCCATTTTGATGAATTAAAATTCGATACTAATAATAGCATCTCTCATTGACGATGCTGGTGGAGAATCTAGAAATGTTTCGATGCTAGAAATTATGAAAACTACAATGACTGAGGGAGCAGGATTGCGTATATTCCCTAAGGTCTCCCTGTCAACCCCGACCAAGTTGCAAAAACAATGCTATACTAAGGGGGCTGTAGTTCAACCTAAGGGTACTATCTTTCTGTTCATATCTAATGGCTGCTTTCACTTTAGGTTGCATAAGGTGATTAAGGAATGTTAGTTGAATTTCTCTACGAAAATATGGTTACGCCTCGTGTTTCCATTAAATTTCACATAGCTTGCTTACCAAAAGCTATTGCCACCCCAGTTGGGTTGCAGTCTATACCTCGTCTGGGTTTCTTCATTTCCGATCAGTCTGATAAAGATGTATTTTTCTCTCTATATATATATATATTTATATATATATAAGCCGACCTGGTTATCTTTTACTTTATGCTTTTCTTGCTTAGGCTGAAGCCTATGAGTATATGACGACATACAAAGAGATTGTAGCTCGAGTTGGGCGCACCGAGAATGTGCTTGGCTGGTATCATTCACATCCTGGCTATGGATGCTGGTTGTCAGGAATTGATGTCTCGACGCAAATGATGAACCAGACCTACCAAGAGCCGTTTGTCGCCATTGTCATCGATCCTATTCGTACTATTTCTTCTGGCAAAGGTAGGCTTTGCTAATACATTTTTCGTCGTTTTGGTTGGTACGTTTCAAGGGATTCTTGTTTCACAGTATCTATTTTAATAAAGTTTTATTTATCTAAAAGATTGGCAATTATATAAAGGTATGCTGAATGATTGTGGCATCTCTCATGTCCTGGTGAATTCACCTATCCTATATCCTCTTATCACCCCTTCACTTTCACAATTGCTTACTTGCTTATTTAAACCTAGTTCAGGTGTTACCTTCTGAGCTGATTTAGTGAGACTTGTTTCTTTGAAGAGTTATAGTGTGTGGCTAAAACTGGCAAGGCTCACTGACAATGCTGACGAAATGTCTGGGGATGTGACAAGTCCATAATCCGACTGAAAATTGTTATTGATGCTATGGACTCTGGACAAGATGCGTTCCTCTAGGTCTCCGTGACACTACGACGAAATTGCGAAAAAGAGGTCAAACTGCTATTATAAATCGTAAGGCAGCCGCGATCATACTAAAGGCTACACCATCTTGATCTTCATACCTTTGATAGAAGCCTTAGTAGTTAAGAGGATGAAGATTGTGTGGCCTTTTATTTGAACGCCATACCTTCGATAACTATGGCTGGCCCCTCTCACTTATGATGCCGACGACAAATGTACCAAGTCAACGATCCAGTGCTGGAAATCATGAATACTATGGCAGAGGACGTAGGACTAGGTACATTCCACAAGGTCTACCTATCGCGCTGATCAAGTTCCAAGAACGAAGTAGAACTAACACTATATCAGGTTTAGCTTTTTAGTTAACGCTATAATATTCAGCTTTTTCATGAAATTCTTTCCTTGGTTTAGCTAACTACCACTTATTGCGAGAAGGAAATAGCATTTGGACCAATTACTTATTGTGTAAAAATTTAATTCCTATCCTAGTATGCCTATATGCTCCACAATTTTAACTCTCCCTTCTCATGAAAGGCAAATAATTTTTTTATTATTTTTTTGTTATTCTAATAAAGTATAGGGGTCATACTATCCCAAAATTAAATATTACATGTAGTCCTATTTGTTAGACTAACCTATTTATACTCATATTACTGTCCTAGTAAATCTTGCCGCTTTCCGAACATATCCGTTTGGATATCGATCTCCTGATGAGGAGCCATCAGAATATCAGTCCATCCCTATGGACAAAATTGAGGACTTTGGTGTTCACTGCAAGCAATACTATGCTCTCACAGTATCCCATTTCAAGTCAGTGCTGGATAGGCGACTACTCGACTTGCTATGGAATAAATATTGGGTCAACACGCTTAGTTCAGTTAGTATCCTTGCCCAGCCAGATTATTTGTCTGGCCTTACGAGAGACCTTGCGGAGAAGGTTGAGCACGCAGTCACTTCCGTAAGCTTTATGTTGCTTACCTTTATCTTTGCTTCCTTTTGATTTGATCTATAATTTAATCTTGTTTATATTTTTGTCTAATTTACAAGTTAACATTTAATTTTGTTGACTGGCTTTCGGCCTGGTGCCGTTACGACATATTATGGACAGAATGGTACCTAAATGATGTAACCACAGTCAAGCAGGCGTAAACATGCATAATCTATGAAGGAATCTTTAAGAATTTTATTGCTTCAGGACTTTCGCCTACATTATAAATATTATTTGTTTAAAGGATTGTTGTTGTTCTCGTCGGGACTTTCGTTTCGTGTGAAAGCACATGAAGAGATTCCAAGGTTGATCTCATCAGAAGACAGTGACTATTTTTTGCGGCACCATGGTTGCTCACTTTTACTATGATGTTCAGTTTCGCAGTGTCAAAGATATACTCTTTCGTTTCTGGTACAACTAGGCTGAGATTTTGTCGTCATAGGATCCATTTGCCTACTTTTATTGCAACGCGTTACTCATGTTAAAACATACTTTAGGTTGTTCGAGTATGCAATTCATATGTACTTGACCCCATTAGTTATATTTAGCGTAAAATCCAGACCCTCTTCTTCAATCTAACATTTGCCAATTTCCATACCATAAAATTGTGATAAAGTACTATCTAATTAAATGCTGATTAATCTGACTATGAAAGTATTTGTTAAAAGCAATAATCTAAATCTAGGTTGTTTCTTTTCGTTTTCACAACCGGTTAGTGTTTTCAAGATAGCTTTGCTAAGCACATTTTCTGTGGAATTCTCTGTCATACTCCCGATAATTTTCAGCCTGACAACATGGGCCTGGTATTTTCCTATATATTTCGCCAGCATCGTCAGTGAGCCCACCACATTTAGTACAAGGCTATAACTCGTGACGGGTTAGTGGAATCTATTCCTTGATTAACGGCTGTGGTATCTCTCCGCTCACACTCTCGGCGTATCTTGATCCCTCCTCAAAACGTCTAGCTTTCTTATACAGGACTACTCAAGATGCGTGACCATTTGAGAATGCCTCACTAAATTCTCTGTATAAAGGCTACATCCTTAGAGCAGTCCGGTATAAACAAGTTGAAAATTGTACTAAAGAGAAAATGAGATACTTTGATCAGTGGTTGATGGATTTACTAGGATAGAAGAAGAGATGTCAATCGGTTATCATACATCAGGAAAAATGATGAACTGACGATGACGGCGAAACGTCTGGGAGGGTATCACATCCATGGTCCGACTCTGG